AAAAAAAAAAAAAAAAAAAAAAAAAAAAAAAAAAGATAGGCAGTTACCATAATAATCACCGCTAAATCAGGTTCTTCAAGTTTATTAGGCAAACCACAACAAAATCATTTGACCAGTAAATATTAATCAGCAAATCCTCATGTTTCAGGCTTCACTTCATCTTCTCATTTTTAAAATTAGAAGTGAAAGAAAGTGCAGATATTTAATATCAAATATTATTAATTTTTAATTTATTATATAATTTGGGCAAACAATAATTCACTGAAGACACAAGAGTACAGGACTGTGAACCAGAATACTAGTTCTTCCTTATTTTCATTTAGATAATATGAGGTGCAAAATAGGATACTGAGCACTAGAATTTATATTAAACTACTTCCCCCTGCACCTAGTTTGCAAATCACTAAATTCACAAATGTGAGTCTAAGTTCAATACTTTGACTTGACATGACATCCTTTCCTTCTCAACAGTCCTCCAGCAGCAACACACCTTTTTCCTTAAAAATGGATTTCATCTTCCATGACTAAAAGTCCAAGACTAAATAAAAGTCAAGTCTCCAATTCATTTCATCTTAATTAGGTATATTTTTTATCCAAGCACAGTATAATATCAAAGTCAATGAAAGCAGAGAGAAAGTTACGAGAATTCTTGAAATGCATAAACTACAGGGTCAATTTTGGGAATGACCACTGGCAGTCTCTCAAAGAGCACAGAAGCAACAAGATTCTCAGAGCTTGTGCTGAATCCTCGCCTTGTCAAGAGAGGTCGAATGAATGACATCTTCATCCTGGATGTATGCAAAACCATCAGATGCACAAAAAGAAGCAAAACAAATAAATGGACAAACAGAGAGAGGGAGGGACTGCACTCTTTCATAGAAATGTGAAGGTCTGGTTTCTTGTGGAAAATATTTTCTATTTCATACTTCTCATTTTCATTATTTCTTTCCAATTTTTTTCTCAGAAAAATTTGGAAAACACTTTCATGCGAGTACATAATAATGCCGGGATTTCTTATAGATTGAGCAAAGGTTTGATGTGCCATCACATTCGGTGATTCAGTCATGAAACTACCAAGCACTAAAGAGTGAAGACAACTACAATAGTCATAGCCTTATAGGCATAATAGCATCCAAAAATATGCTACATTCTATATTACAGATCACATGTACATATACCCAAGGTAGTGAAAATTAAATTTAAAAAATCCAAGTGGCCAAACCTCTAATCTTCATCTTAACAAATACTTGAATTAATTTAATAACAAATTTCCTACGGATGTCCCTGTCCTTTATTTGGGCGGATTGGGGGGGGTAGGGGGTTAAGCTCCTATGGATGCCTTTACAGCTTAGTTACCAATGCAGTTAACATAAAAATGACATTCATCAGCTGTTACTGTTGTAGATAAAGAAAAAATAACAGAGTTTATGTTTTTAAAAATTCACATCCTATACTCTAAGAGGACTGATCAACAGCTTCTAACTTCACATATCAGTGCTCAAATTTCAAAAAAAAAAAATCTTACTAAACACAGTACTAACAAGTAACAACATGAGCTTGAAATTCTCTTCATTTCATGCTATATCAGAACCTGACGCTGATTAAAATAAAGTATCCAAAAAAGCAAGTGACAACTCTAATTGCTCCAAACACAACATAAATTCAAAACCTTTCCAATACAAAATTGATTTGCTTTCATGGATTGCATTGAATTCTATGCAACACCGTTTCACTCTCTAATGAATTTTGGGGTTTCCTTCGGCTCAGAATCTATTAAATGGGGATACTGGGAGTGCTGTTCTAAATTACCAATCACAAAGCAGAGATAACATAACAGGAGATAGAAATCCCCAAAGAAAAGAGCTTTCCTACCTTAACCAAAGAATGAAGCATATCACTCCATAATATCTTTCTATTTGGGGCAAAATATGAGATAGCTGTTGCAGTTGCAGCAATGAGAATTGATAACTGGAGAGGGGAAGAAGGATTTTAAACGTACAAGAGATACCAAAGGCAAAAATCAAGGGTTAATTGATGCCATTTTCAAGTCACTTAATTTTTCTCTCTTTGCAAATAAAAGACCAAAGACTCCTCCATTTTTATTAAGATCGCTATGTGTGTCTCTGTATATGTGTATAAAGAGACAAAGAGATAAAATTACACTGGTGTAAATTATCACAACAAACAACTACACTATTCAATAACTTCTAATTGAATAATTTTATCTTAAATTTGTTTAACATAGATCATCTCTCATATCCCTGAATCAAATTACATTGACGTAACCTGCACAATTTAGTAACTTCTAATTGGATAATTTTATTTCAAATTCCCATTTTTATTATGAGTTTAAATAATTATACTTGGGTAGTTTTCATTTTGAGGAAAATAGTCTTACCATGTTTTATTGCATTTCTTGTTCCCATTATGAGGGATGGGAAAATTAGATTCTTACAAGAATGTGAGAAGTTATTTTCCAACTCAATTATAACTTCCACTTCTGCACTTAATTATTTCAATTATTTTAAATTTTAAAAATATCCCTATGAATGTTAAAATCTAACCAAACATTTTTAAACAGAAATGTGATAGACATGCAACAATTTATATTACAATTTGTACATTATTTTTTTTTTTTTTGTCTATCACTCTCCCAGTCTCCATCACATCATTTATTACATCTCAAAATTCTCTCTCTTTACTCTACTAAATGTACAAACTATTATACAATTAGTTGTTAAAATACCATTTCTCTTTTAAATATACTCAAGAATAACATTCTTGGATATTATATTCCTAACATTGAGATTTCTGGCAATGTAATATGATACCTAGAAAAATGCTTGAAACAAAGGCCTCCCAGAAATGTCAAAATGTAGCCAAACATATTTTTCAAATTTCATTTCCCTAGGAATAACATTCCTAGTTACAATATTCCTAGAAATTCAATATTGTACTTTAACAAACGCCCCCTAAGAGCATACACAATGGTTGTATCTTAAAGATGTATCTTATATCACTTTATTGGACCTCACATTATCATATCAAATTTAAGTAACTCATAAGAAACTCACTATACTTTTACTCCAATGGCAAAATTTTAAACAACTCATAAGCTACTCACATTTGTAATACAAGAACGTAACTTCCTATTGAATAAGCATATCTGTACGAGAACATAGAAAGAAAAAAAAAAGGGCTTTATTATCTGTCTCCCATATGCATGATGGGTTCAATTAATTAGTAAAGTTATCTAGTGGAAATGTTGGATATACAAATGAAATAAATGCAAAAAAAACTCAGAGGATTGGTATTTAGTATGAAATATCAAAATCTCATGAGTTATTTTCCCTGCCCTAGAGTGAGGGTTTTCTATTTTTGTTTTGTATGGTATTCTTTGAGGGGTATTTGCTATTAAATGTCAAAATCACAATGGTTAAGAAAATACACACCAAAATACAATTAATCAAAATATGCGTGTTTATAAGAAAATTCAACATTCCTCCAACAAGTTTCCACTCTAACTTGCAATCATTGAGCATGTTGAGTGTTTCCAAATCTTGAGCAGCAAGCTGAAGCAGAATTGGGTGAAGTTGGCTGTTGAGGACTTCACGGAGTACACAGTACACAGTACACAGCAGGAAATACATTATGTATTCAAACTGTTGCTGTTGGAACTTTACCACCCGCCCTACTCAAACATGTTGCTCATCATTTTAAGCCTTAAATGAACGTCAATTTAATTTTGAAGCTTAATCGTGATTCCATACATGTATCACATTGTTTTAGAAACCCTAAGAACATTATTATAGACTAGGTTGTCCATATAAAGCATGAGATTTTCCATGGAATTTTGGATCCTGTCCGTTTCTATTGGTTACTTAAAAAATTTATCAGAAGATTTATGACATATTCTTTTTGTTAACGCGAAAAATTGAGTCACAAACTCATGCAACAGACAGACAATTATTTGTTTATAGATAAGATCATAGTGCAACTTTCTTTCTTTCCCCAAACGTTTTTTTCTCCCTTTCCTAACTAATAAACTAACCCACTTTTTTTGTCTGTTTTTTCTTGTTTGTATACATTCTAATAATATGGGATTGCAGCTGGCAATGCAATGCTGCTAAATGGAAAAGAACGTAATAGTAAGTGGTTGAGTAGGAACGTCAAACGTGTGATCTAGATTGTTAAAGATTGAACCGAAACTTTATTTGGTTAAGGGTTGGGGGTGCTAATAAGAGTCATGGAGTGATACCATAAGTCCAATCTATTTGAAATTTAGATATAAAATCCATTACAATCATTCACGACAGTTAAAGTTATTAGAACATCCACACTGCCCTTGTCCCAACTTTCTCAAAGGGACCTAGTATGTTGCTTATTTGGGACACAAAACGATGAAGCAAATACATTATCGAAAAATAATAAAAGAAAGTTCCAAAAAGAAAGATCAGAGCGAAAACGATGTTTGCCCAGTGGTCGTTTTCCAAAATGAATCATATCTCCAAAAGCAACTTTGACAATGAATCCCTGGGCTTGACTTTCAAATTGAATGTCACAGTATTGTACTAAATTTCTTCTCTGAGTCAGTATCTCTAACACTACGTACCAACACACTCATCTATTTTCATTTTATTATCTAGCATATATCGCAAGTTTCTTGATTTGAAGTCTAACCTTTCATCTATTTCAAGCGAGGATATGGCAATTCAAAGAGAATCGTTCTTTTTCTTTTTCTCCTTTAATTTTTCTTTATATATAATCGAGTTGATGCAATCCACTACAACAAAAGCAAAGCACACTACAACGAATTAATCCACATGATCAACAAATAAAAACGGTCTGCTCTCTTGAAAAACATAAAGTTTATTTAACAGGAGTCATTAGGATGCAAAGGATTTGAAACATACCAATAATGTATTAAAGTATATAATACCGCTTACAATGTTACTATAACAATATATATATATATATATATATATATATATATATATATATATATATAATCGTATATTCTATGGGGAGAGAAAAA